TTTTATAAAGTCCGCGTCCCTGGTTTTGGGTGGGTAAATGGGAGGGAATACTTTCACAACCCAGAGAGAGGGGGTTTACAGGGGTAAGTGATGAGCTGATGGAGGCTTCGATCGTTAGGCTGGGGGGTTTGTTGTTCAGAGAAGGTCCCAGATTTTAAATGCCCCTATCGAGAGAACAGGCCAGGCGGCGGGGCCGTCCGCCAGAAGCTTGAGTCTACGAAGGAGATTCTCGCCGAGGCCGAGGGCGCGGGCGCCTCTCTGGAGGAGCGACTCGAGGCCAGCGAGCGGGTCGCCCAGCGCCTTGCCCGGGAGCTGGGGGGGGCGGAGAAGGGCCTCGAGTCGGCCCGGGAGAGCGTGGCGTGCCTGAAGGGGGCCGTCACCCAGGGCGCCGCGGACGCCGAGAGCCTCCGGCAGCGGCTCGGGGACGCCCTCGCGGAGGGGGTCGAGTACGCGGACCAGCACACCCGGGCGGAGGAGCGGCTCCGCAGCAGCGAGGCCGACTGCGCGGCGCTCTGGGAGGAGCGCGAGGAGGCCAAGGCGAGGCTGTGCGCGGCGTTCGTGGAAGGGAGGGCGCTCGAGGAGAAGCTGGACGAGAGCGTCGCGGGGTCGGAGCGGCTGCGGGAGGAGCTGGGAAGGGCGGAGGCCCGGCTGGCGGCGGCGGCGAGGGAGGCGGAGGAGGCGGGGGACGAGCTGAGCGCCAGCCGCCGGGAGGCCGCCGCCATGAAGGAAGAGCTCGAGAAGATGACCAACATGTGGGTGGATTGGTTTTTGGCCTCTCTCATGTGTGTTTTCAGTCTTTTTTTGGCTGTTATTGTTTGAAGCGTTTTTTTTAGGGGGGTTGGAGACGCGTAGAATTGTTTGCTGTGCGCGAGTGAGCTTTTTTGAGGTGATGTGCGTGTGCGTTGTTTGTTTTTTCTGGCTCGATGGAACTTGAGCAAACCTGTGATAATTTTCTGCAAGAATTCCATGTGTTCTGTTCTTCCGGGACTGGGTCGGCCCTTGCTAGGTACCGCCGCTTGCGGTGAGAGCGTGACCACCGCAATCCACGGCGTACGTGCCAAGGAGTACGGTGGGCTGTTTGCAACGCGCGCTTGCAAGCACGGGTACGACCCTGATATTCCCGCGCTTTTTCCACGACCACACACCGAACGATCTAGATCAATTCATCCATCATCGGCCTGTGTATCTACCCTATATCCGTGTCATGGCGATAAACCCGACGACGTGTGTTGTTTATTTGTTTGCCACGCCTTTTAACAGGTTCGCGACGGCCTCCTCCGAAGCCCGGGTCCTCAAGGCGTCCGGCGCCGACGTTAACGCGGAGGTGTCGCGCCTCCGGGCCGAGCTCGAGGGCAAGGAGTCCCGCCTCGCCGAGTGCGCCGCGCGGGAGAAGGGCCTAAGCGAATACCTAGCCTCGAGCGAAGGCCTGCGGGGCGAGGCCAAGGCCGAGCTAGCCGCGGCGCAGAAGGCGCTCAACACGGGGGCGGAGGACTTCGTGGCGCTGGAGCGGAGGCTCTGCGAGGCCGAGATGACGTGCGAGAGGCTGAGGTCTGGTGTGGAGGCGACGGAGTTGGAGATGTCCGAGGTGTGTGTGTGTGTGTGTGTGTGTTGTCTTACTTTGTGTCGACCGCGCCAACGGGCTGGCCAATGAAAAGACAAGACGTCAGTCTTGTACAATAGCGGGATAAAAAGGCACGAACATACCGTAATTAATTGTGGGTGTTGTCGCACCCCCGTGTTAGCGTTTTCTCGTAGCGTATTTCTCCACAACTAGGAGGGTGCGAACACCAACCGATACCTCTCCGGAAAGAGCCCTCCACGAGATGTTTCCAAAACCACCCTTTTCGGCAGTGGTACCCCCCTGGTTGTGGAGAAATATGCTGCAGAAAAACGCTAACACGGGGGTGCGATACAGAACGCGCCACCAATTAAGAACCTAGGAGTTAAGAACTTGAGCCTCAAACAATCCAAAATATAAGAACTTGGCCGTAAGAACAGGTGCTCAGTTCCGACGTGGCAATAAGACCAAGAACCCGCCCTTGTGGTCTACCAATGCGCATACAGATAAGAACGGAGCCCCAAAACGCGGCGGCTGCAAGATAAGACCTCAGGAAGGTTGGGGGTGACCCAAACAGCAGTTTGTTTCAGGTTCGAGGCGCGGGGGGGGAGAGGATCTCGTGACAAGATGATTGTACGCGCGGAGGGGGAGGGCGTACTCTTGTGTTTCGCATGCCTTAGAGGTTAGACCATTGACCACACGTCCTCGAGAGGACGCAAAATTGCGCCCACAGGACCGATCACCGATGGCCAATCGTTCCTTCCAATACACGTCGAAGTGCTTTCCCAAAGGTGGCTCAAAAATGTCTCTCCTAGTCTATCTATCCTATAGATACCACTTCCCGCCTTTTCAACCCACTTGTTATGCCCCAGTACAGCTACCGTCTTCTCCTGGCTATTCCATGCCTCAAACATTTCCCTGTACCTTTCCGTGTCCAACTCAGTTGTGTACATTTCTCTGCCCTTGTCGCCCAACACTGACGTTTCGGAACGACATGAGCCCGGTCTTCGCAGTCGGACCAGCTTTCACATTGTAACTTGTGGTCTTCATTGTCTTACTTCTCGAATCTTCGTCAACGTTCTCAAAGGCCGTTGTCCCCAGTCCTAATTTTGACCTTCGGCTTTGTCCCTTCATCGATTGGTCCATGTAGGTACACCTATTCCTTCTTTCAACACCCGTACACATCTAGACCCTCCTTATCCTTGGATCCTTTTGTTAGATTGTGTTCTCTCTCAGCAAAAGGAGCATGCTGCTTGTTCTCGAACCCCATAGACCTACCGTTCGTTTCCAATGTATCAACCCAATCGATTTTGAACTCTTCCATACGTCATCTACAACCTTAATCCACTCCCTGGGTTGTTACCCCTATTCTTGTTTGTCTACTTTGCTTCCCAAACTTGTCTCGGCAACCTGTCCTCTCCCACATCGTACAACATACGGCACTCTTGCCATTCATCTTCCTTACGCCCCTTCCTGATCGTGGGAATTGGATTCGAAGGGGGAGCGTACTCGCTCTCTCTCATGTACAATGCCTTAGCGGTTACACCATTGACCACGCGCCCTCGACAGGGCGCAGCGCATTGTTCCCACAGGACCGATCGCCGATGGCCACCTTTTCCTTGTACTTTTCCCAGCTCACTCTTGCGCGTTTCCCTCTCCTTCTTGTGCAACGGACATCCCGCAACTACATGAACATGGTCCTCTCACCCGGAGCCGCATTCACGTGTGGATTTGTCGTCTTCATCGTCTACGTTCCCAAATCTACGTCTACACTCTCGAAGGTCGATGTCCCCAGTCCTACGTTTGACCTTCAACTTTGTCGCTATACCCATTGGTCCATCAAGAAGGTACCCCGTAAAGCAATTCCTTCTTTCAACATTCCGTACACATGCAGACCCCCTCCTTATCCTTGGTTTCTTTGGTTAGGTTCTGTTCTTCTTTCTCGGCAAAAGCAACAGATATCTTTTCTCCTTGAACCCCTCTAGACCTTGCGTTTCCAGGGTATCGCCTTCGTCAATTTCGAACACCTTCCACGCGTCATCTGAAACATTTACCCACTCCGTAGGTTGGTACACCCATTCCTCTTGTTTGCCCACTTCGCCTCCTAAGCTATTCTCGGCAACCTCTCCTCTCCCATGCCGTAAATGCGGTACTACATTGTACACTTGCAGCAGCAGCGTCTCGTGGTGAAATCCACCCACGGAAAGACCTGTGTCCTCTGCATATAGGGCAATCGGTTTAGAAATAAGAGCAAGAACCCCGTTTATCATACTGTAGGTAGATGCCTGCTTCAAATAAGAACTTGGGAAATAAGAACATGTGCTCGGTTGGAAGCAACCAATAAGCGTCGAGCCTCAAGCCAAATAAGCGGTTCGTAAGTGGTGGCGCGTTCTGTAGCACGCACAGCTACGGTAGTCTAATGAAAGGGTACAGTGTTCTAACGACAGGGGGAGCACAGGTGTACATGTGTGTGTGTTTTTTTTTATTATTATTAGCATCGACCGCGCTAACCGGCTAACCAATGAAAATACGTCAGCCTTAGTGCGGTTGAAAACACAAAACACTTCTATCTGCCATGAACTGGGACCACGTGAGGGGGCAGCATGGGGGAGGCTAAACTATCCTTCGGATCAAAGACAGAAACACCAGCAACAGAAGAAAACTGGACGTGTCTACCAAGGCTTTTACCTTGTACTCTAGTTCGTTTAGGAGTACTTTCACTATTATCCTCCTTGTTTTCGCTACCATCATTCTGACCCTCATTTTGACAAGAATCTCTGGGCAGTTCTTCCCTAGCCCTACGTTTTTTGTTTTGGGGAAGGTTATCTGGCTCAAACCTTTTGCTCTCTTCCACTCCTCCATGTTTTCTTCCCCCATCGTCGTCTTCGTCCTCCTTTCTTCCCTTTCCCTTTCCTTCGTCTCCGTCACTCCTAAAAGAATTACCCTCATTACAAACGTTGTCGCAGAGATCCCAACCGATTGGCCCTGGTGGAAGTTGGTCGATCAGTAGCCCATGACGTTTGAACACATCGCGAGTTCTCATCGACAGAAAACGAGCTAGCTCGAAGGTAAACCGTCTCCGAATCCTGTTAGTATGAAAAGATTTCAGGCAAACTAAGGCTCTTTCGTCGTCAAAGTTCCCCCGGCAAAAAGCTTCGTGCGCCAAGTGGTTGGCGATAGCAACGATGAGTCGATTGGTGCCTTTGCCAAGACGACCATTCGTCGAAAAAGCAGCAGCAAATATAAGGAGGGTAGATCTAGACGGGTTGAAAGTTCCCGCATAGTGATTTGCCCTACTTGCAGCTCGATCTTCGAGGGAATATCCTGGCTTTTGGATCGACTTGTCGATGCTTCGACCTGCGGATGGGTTGACGATTGTTACGTCTATAAGAAAGAATGGACTTGGTGCAGAGTTCCTCTTCCTTCTCTCCTGCGTGTAATCCTTGGGGGATTACCAAATCCATCTTGTAGCCCCTTTCCCCTACCAGTGCCTGTGGTAAAAGGGGAAGAATCCTCAACGGCGATGGGCATATGGCACTCGCGCAGTGTCTTGAGGACTACTCGAACCATCCTGTTATTTATGGAGGAAGGTTGAGGCGCCGGTCTTGGTGCAGACGAGGGAGTGGGCTCGGCTCAAGCGGTCCTTGCATGGTAACAATGCACCCGCACCACAAAGTTTGCCTGTGTGGCAGTCTGCTCGATCGTGACTCCCCAGTACACGACCGATTGACTCCCGATACAGATCAGGCATCATTCTTTCATCTGCTGACAACCCTTCCTTGCGTTGTCAACCACGACAAAACTCCCATGCCTTTGTGTGTGTGTGTGTGTGTTTTGCTATTGGCATCGAACGCGCTGACCGGCTGACCAATGAAAATACGTCAGTCTCGGTGCGGTAGAAAACACAAAATGCTTCTATTAATAAAGGGCCGCAGGGGAGACGTCCCTATATGCTGTCTGGGAAATCGTAGACATACAGGTAGCTTTTTCTGACGCTATGAGTTCATTGCTAGTCTGTCTCTTACTCTTTTCCATGATAGAGATGGATTCGTTGTGTCATATTAAGAAAAATAAAAAATCCTTTTAAAGGCCACGATCTGGGATCCTGTGAGGGAGCGTCATATATGTGTGTGTGTGTGTGGTGCGTGTGTGTGCATGTTCGTGGTGTTCCTACTGTTTTGTTTGTGTTTGGTGGCATCCTTGTGTGAGCGTTTTTCACTGTTGATTCTGAACGATGGAGGGGTTGGTGGGCGGATATTAATGGATGGATGGCTCAAGAGAGCCCTGCCGAGTCAATCAAGCCGGCGGAGTTGAGGCTCAATCTAATAGCGTTTGTTGGACGTGATCGAGATCGATCGGACGTTGATTTATGTGTGTGTGTTTTCCTCTCTTTCCAGCCTCAGAGAGTGGCCGGCGCTGCTGGTCTAGTTGGCTATGATTCTACCTTAGGGTGGTAGAGGTCGGGAGTTCGAATCTCCCGTAGCGTCTTTTTGTCTTTCATTCTTTCATCCCTTTTTGACCGGGGTCGATCGTCTGTGTCCTGGTCCTTGATTGACCTTGTTTCCTATTTGATGTTTATTTTTTCTTTTCGTTTGGGTTGTTGTTGTTGTTGTTGTCTTCACAGTAAACTCGTGTCGGTTGCTAATCCCAAAATCTAGCAAAGACTCGGTCCGTGGTCACAAAAATGCGAAATAGAGCCATCAGAAGATCTAAAGAACACGCCCACTATTGGTAGCAAAACAAACCTCGCCTTGGAAGAATACTTTCTGGTGTCCATTTCTTATTATATGTTTTTCTTTCACAGGCGTATTCCCCCGGCGCTGCTGGTCTAGTTGGCTATGATTCTACCTTAGGGTGGTAGAGGTCGGGAGTTCGAATCTCCCGTAGCGTCTTTTTGTCTTTCAATCTTTCATCCCTTTTTGACCGGAGTCGATCGTCTGTATCCTGGTCATTGATTGACCTTGTTTCCTATTTGATGTTTCTGTTTTCTTTTCGTTTGGGTTGTTGTTGTTGTTGGTGTCTTCACAGTAAACTCGTGTCGGTTGCTAATCCCAAAATCTAGCAAAGACTCGGTCCGTGGTCACAAAAATGCGAAATAGAGCCATCAGAAGATCTAAAGAACACGCCCACTATTGGTTGTAGCAAAACAAACCTCGCCCTTTTGGAAGAATACTTTCTGGTGTCCATTTCTTATTTTATTTTTTTCTTTCAAAGGTGTTAATGTGAAGACAACAACAACCCCCCCTTTGGTGGGGCAGTTGGCTTTGTGACCACGGAAGGCGTCCGCGTCAGTTGACGGAAGGCGTCCGCGTCAGTTGACGGAAGGCGTCTGCGTCAGTTGACGGAAGGCGTCTGCGTCAGTTGACGGAAGGCGTCCGCGTCAGTTGGACTGTTATAGTATACCGTATATGACACAAGATAACACACCCCCTTGGCCGATTTTCAAAGCTCGATTTCTCAACAGCAGGAAGAGTCACAGCGCCGAAAACGGCGGCGTTGAAACCGTCTCGTCGAGAGCTGTTCGAAAACGTATTGTTTCATTTATGCATCCTCTTCGTCGTGGAGTAATCGAGCTTTGAAAATCGGTCCAGGGGGTGTGTTATCTTGTGTCATATACGTTAGTATAGTACGGACATAAGAAGGTACTGAGTGGAGACCGGAACGGTTTTTTAATGTGAAGACAACAACAACAACAACAACAACAACAACAACAACATCTCTCAGTCGATCACTCTCTCTCTCCCCGTCTCTCGATCTCCCTTGTCTGTAACATTCACCCCCAAGTTGAAAAAAATGTGCCTGAAACGGCACTTGGACGTTTCTCAACCCCAAGCGCACGCCGGTAGGCTCCCCCAGCAAGCACACACAAACACGCACACACACACGTCCACGGGCACATCCAACAAGATACCTCACCCCCCCCCGCATTCAACAACAACCGTACCACACCGCCACCTGCACCCGAAAACCACCCACACACACACAGGTGACGGCGGAGCTGCGGCAGGC